TAGCTACTGTCGAACAAACTAATTCAAGGAAGAGTGCGCTTTGATATTTCAAGAAGATGACGTGGATGGGGCTTAGAGGGAGAAAGAAATCAGCCCTGAGTTTTAATCCTCCGGCTCCAAAGTGTTCTGCACATGTTTATCACAAAACAAAGCGTTTTTTTTATCTGAACAAACATTTTAATATTAGACTTTAGAAGCCTATGTCCACCGAATAATGTTCATAATTCAAACTTTGCATTGCCCGCGTTACACAAGTGAGTACATCCTGGATTTAACGGTCCCCATCCAAATGTCGACAGGAGCCAGAATGAGCAGTAACTGCACAATGTCATTATGTTCGTAGTGTTTCCTCCTGTGGTGTGATGTGACAACGCCAGACACAATGACCCAATTTGCCTGAGTGGCTATAGGGGGGTGCCATCATAAATACTGTACAAAGACCCTCTTAGAGGCAATAATACACTTTTGTATGTAATGAAACGCAGCCATATAAAATGTCACATTTAGAGAGTGTTTACACACTACATGTTCTTCTTCACTCACAGGAAAAAAGACAGAGCCTAAAGAAATGCGAGGCTGGAGGTGGTGGTGGTGGGAGGGGCAATGATGAGTTCTCAGACTAGCCTCTTTCGCATGCAAATCATATCTGAATTTCTCATTAGCATAAATGCATGAGCAACTTTAAATGCTTTTAATTTTCAATCTCGCCAAGCAGAGGAGTAATTTGTCACTGTCAGGATGGGAGACTAAAAGGGGGGGACCAGAGGGAGCCAAGGACTCATTGCTAAACTGGAATCACAGAACATTTCTGATTTACTAATTGACTGATGTGCAGTTCAGTCGAGTTGCCTTGAAGGTGTAAATAATTCTGTGTATATTCAAATGGCAGAAATGAGAGAGCGTGGGGTGGATACGGAAAAGCACATTACGTGACGCTTCTCCCCAGGCCGTTCTCTTTTCTGGTGATTCTAATTCCCAGCCTTGAACGTTATCAGTCTTTCTCTTTGGAGGGGTGCGAGTCTGCTGTTTTAGAGCATAATCACAGATAATCAACTGGAAATTAAAACAAAATGTCACAGTTTTTTTTTGCCTCTCTTTGCCATTACACAAAAAAGGCTGCTCAAAGCTATTCAGCAGCAGTGCACAGAAACATTCACAACAGCTTATCACGGGAGCGGTTTTAAGTCATTTGAAATGTTATCTTCATTCTTTCAAGATGTAAGATCAATTGACAGTGCTCTCTGAAGTCTACACCACTAATGCCTCGTTTTTTTAACAAAGCAGTTCAGATTCAGACAGACCTTGTTAGCTCAAATTAGCTGTAGGTGAAAATGGGGGAGAACATATTTAACAAGCTCCCCCTTTAAAGGACTAAAACCAATTATGCAAATATAATTAGTATTCGTAGGAAACTAAAGACGAGAGCAGCATGGGGCTCGCTGCTTACCTCCAAAGAAGGCCCCATCAGTCCAGATCCTGGTGGATGCATCCGTCTGTGTCATGGCTGAGGAAATGCTGGCCCTTGCTTCGCTGGCCATGCCGTATAATCCCATCGGCCCTATCGTCAGCTCCAGAAGGTTTTTTAAAGAATGTTTCATGTTTCAAGTCAGAGATCAGTTCATCATAGCTCCAACTTCACACCTCCTGTAGGCATTTCAAAGCAAGACAAACAGGAAACAGTGAAAAAAAGACATCTGAAACACTTCAATTGTAAGGACTTAATCATGAAATTATTATACATTTTCTGGTGTAAAATAGAAACGCCATTGTAAAACATGCAGTAGGTTTGGTTATAGCCCCAGAATTATTTAAGAAATTATAACAAAATCAACTAAAAGTCACAATGAGTGAATTGCAAGAATGCTTCAATCACAATTTTACCACAAAAACTGAGAAATATGCACCTTAGTTTACTATTGCTAAGTAGCCAAATACATGCACATTTCCCTTGTTTTACATTGCTCTACTGTAAAAGCAGCATTTTGTTCAGTTAAATGATGGTGACTATAGCTATAGTTACTCCTACTTAGCTTGGTATCATCTTCAAAGTAGGCCACATTTAAAGAAGTGTGGGTTTAATTATACCCAGTTATACTGTTGACACTAAGCTAACTTCCACCTTGTATCAGGCTTTCAATTCCATACACCTTTATTAACTTATGAAGGGAGGCTGTGGCTCAGTGGGTGGTGTGCTGGACTTCAAATCAGGGGATAACAATTTCGAGTTCCACTGCAGTCAGCATGTCGTTGTGTCCCTGGGCAAGACACTTCACCCCAAATTGCTCCTGTGGGGATTGTCCACAGTAGGCTACTGAATGTATGTAAATCGCTTTGGATAAATGCGTCTAACAAATGTCACGTAATGTAATGAAGGCAATTTGATGTTGGGGCATAGGCCTGACTAAACACCGACATATGCTCAAACAGACAATTATAAAATAGCTGTTGAGGACGTACTTTAAATGAAGGTCGCACACAAAAGCAATACAGTCAAGTATAAAGTACTACATACATTGACATTAGTACCAACCATGCTATCTAGCCATTACCTTTAAACCAAGCTAATGCTAACTACATTAGCCACAGAACGTTTCAATTAAGCAGGGCAGGTGTGCAATTCGCTACTTTACCTGGCATAACGATTGCGGTTGCTGGTGTTTTCTTTCGCAGTTTAATGGAACGGTAAGGTATACGCTATTTAAGTTAGAAGTGGGGGAATGTATTTATTTTTTTATCATTTTAAGTGTCCTAATAACTTAAAAGAAAAGACGGGGGAATATAAAAACATTTTAGACATAATTACCAAATCTGGCCTCAATTCAACCTGGTTGTTTGCCAGGAATGGCCTAACATACCTGTAGAGCAAACAGTATACATTCCATAATGAACATAGTCCAGTATGAGCATGGATGGAGAAGGCTGCTGCTGTTATATTTCCATATTTTACATCATGCACATACTGCCCTCCAGTGTTGAAAGGGTGAACATATTGGGAAAAACGTGATATCAAAGTAACAACTGTTCAACGTATACACCTACCAATTCAATAATATACTTCTTGATAAGAGTCCCTTTTCAAAGCCAATATTTACTTTATTATATTTTTTTAGGCTGTTGATGTGGCATTCTATTAAACATGAATGAATACATTAATTCACCATCTTCACCTTCTTTCTCTGGAAGTAGGCTATTATATTGAGTAAATCTGCAGGATAAGTTCCAATAAAAGATGTACTGTGAGGTGTGGTATTACCCTAACCAGAACAGTGTTCCTGGAAAAACATGGAGCTATTTCAAATGCTGTGCACCGCAAAACAAAATTCCAATGAAAGATAAATATCCCTCTGCTTGGTTTGTCATTGACTCTTTGAAAATATACAAAGGTATTCAAAACATAATCACCATTACCAATGAAAAGATGCATGTTTCCGTGTTCATGTCATTGAGAACATGTTTACTGCAGAGGCATGACAAGGTCACATTTTGAAAGCTTTTAGCCCAAAATATTTTTATCAATTTAGTTGTGTATTTTTTGTATGTCAATCACCAACAAATGTGGGCATGTGTAAAATGATGCTTTGATGAAAATTAGTTTTTTGTATTGAGTGTACTGTAACATTTAGAAAACAGAGCAGTCTCACTACACCGGCTCAATTCATAACCAACGGAAGACCTTTTATAAACACAACGTTACTTGCCCAAATTATTTTTGTATTAGATGTTAAGACTTTTTTTATACAAATCAGAATAAATGGGTGTTGTGATATTTCCTTTTCGATTACATTTGGTCTCAAATGTTTGTGAAGCATTGAATCTTAGAATTCTGCTTAAAACATAACTATTTTCACAAAAGTTGAATAATGAGGATCAAAAGGCACCGTAACTCTGTTCAATACAAGTTTTTTTGTTGACAGACACTTTTGTATAACTGACATTATTGAGCAAGTGCTGTGCAACAGTACTATTTGTTCATCATGTTTCACAGAAAATAAAACAATAAACTCACCATGGATACATATTGGTGGTATCCATGGTCCCTTGTGGTCCCTTGTGGTCCCTTGGCGTCCATTTCAGGTCACGTAATGATAATATCTTTAAATAAAGAGAATCTTTGGAATTGGAGGAATATTTAATGTGCATTACCCTGTAATGTCCACCTGCAGCCACATAGGCCGCAGTTACAATGTCTCCCTTCAGAATACACTCTCTTAACCCTTTGAAGGGATACAAGAAGTCTACATTATGTCTCATTCTAATTCAATTAAAAGCACCTACAGTTTTGAGATAATAACATCTGCTTGTTTATGTCTTTGTGAGTAAAAACATGCCAATTCAGCCATTAACACAAACAGCAACAGACAACAATCGTCTATGTTGATGTAATCTTGCATTACTTTTTTATTTACTTGTATTGCGTTTAACTTTAACTCCATATACATTATTATTGTTATTACTATTATTGATATCGATATTTTTTGTGAAAAGCTTGCTGTATTTCTAAGGGTATGAGATAGTATTCATAATATCTAATACTTATTAATAATGGATAGAAAATATAATGATTCATAATGACATGGACACAAAATGAATATGTTGGAATTAGGCGTCCATTTTGAACTATATTTGTATAAAAAAATGTAACTGACTCTTAATATATTGATGATGCATGTGATTGGCATGCTATTAAGAGAACTTTATCATGTGAATTCACTGGCTAGGATGGAATAACATTATCAAAAGATTTGTCATAATTCTGTTCACATTTACTTAAACTCAAGAGCTTACTATGATAGAATTTCCCCTGAAGTAACACTATGAATATTACATACATTAGTGAGATAGGAAAATACAGCCATCTGAGTTCTTAAATGTTTTATTGGCACACAGCATCACTGTCTGCTGTTACAGGCAGCATCCACTAGATGGCAGCTCTGTTTCAGGAAAGGTAGACTGACATAAATAATGCAGCACCATGCTGAATACACATTCAGAAAACCAGATCATTTTCAGACACAACATCTTTTATTTGAAGCACTTAGTTCTGACTGATACACATTATCCAACAGCTTTTCTTAGCCCACTCCGTATGCCTTGAACAGGAAGCCTAGCACTGCATCACTTTACAGTCCATCACAGCAGCAAATCCATGAAAAAAAAAAATCACAATAGCCAGCCAGCAAAATATCAAAAACCACATCCACTCTGTCCTCCTCACAGTGACTGCCTGGAGACATTCCAACAAATGTTATCAAAAGCAATTTGTTCCAAGAATAAACCAGCATTAGGTTCCCTACAAAACTCCCATTGTGTTGTTGCAGCAGAAAAAAACGTTTATAATGTTTAAAAAAAGAACATTGGTACTAATTCAAAATGATGCAAACAGAAAAGAGTTTGTTAAGCAAATCTAGTTTGTGGACGGAGGTGTTCACTGTAGTAGCAATGTGAAACAGTATCTGATTTAACCTTTGACCTCAAGGGTGGGCCTGCTTTAGTCTGGGAAGAAACCTGCTGGAGCATGAACTTGGCTCCATTGCTTTTTCCTTAAGCAAATACTTGAAAATAAAAGATACGGGATGAGTCTTTGTGTAATCTGAAAGCCTGTTAGCAGCACGTCTCCTCTTACACAACTGACTATTGTTTTCGTTTTTTAACCCGACTGTGGCGACCTCAGTAGAACCATTTTTATAAATAATGTAATCCACACAGAAGAAGTCAGTTCTGATTGATTTAGCCCTACAGAATCATTATCTTTGGCAAATGTGCTAAATGTAGGACCTGTGATACCCGTGAGTATGCACTTCAAACATAATGGCATTTTCTAAATCTAAAAGTCAATATTTATGTACTTATAATGTACTTAATTGGTTATATTTTGAATAATTTAGAAAAAATTATCTAAAGCATCTTGTTTTATATTTCTGAGATTGCTTTGACCTTTTTGGAGAAGAGAGAGTTTTGCAAAAGGAGTATTTGTGCGGTGTAATAATGATTCTGATGCCCTTTTACTTAAGATAATTTCACTTTGATTCACATGTTATAATTTAAAGCCAGAGAAGACCAGGTTTCGAGGTAGAGCTGCAACAATTTGTTATTTACTAACACAAAATATTGATCATTCATCATTCTAAAAATGTTTTAAATAAAACCAACCAAACTTCTTTGGGCTATGGAGTGTTGGTTGAACAAAACAAAACCCTTAAAAGCATCTTCTTGGGGTGTTAAAAATGATCTAACATAATGTTGACCAAACAATAAATCAATGAAAAATAATGAAAACAATCATTAGTTGCAGCCCTGGTTGAAGGAAGGTTCCTTCCCAGTCAGATTCCCATTCAACTATAACTATGAAATAGCCTTACAGCCTGACATGTATATTCTCTCATTTGCATAGAACCTGTGTTTCATCATTCATAAGGCGCACTACAACTGTTTCCATTCTTTGTTTATACAACTTTCAATAACTTCTTGTCACCAGTCACCAGCCATCTAGTTAATATGTTCTAAATAAAATCTATTCTAACTGTAAAAGTGCACCAAACCACACTGAACACGGGAAATACACAAAAGAGCTTACAGTCACTGTCATCATGTCATAATATACAGTCAGATACAAATACCGTTGCATTCATTCACTTTACTTTAAAATCTTTTTAAGGCCTGCAGACACGTTAAGTTGCCATGCAAATACACACATTCCATTGGTAGCAGGCAATGAGACACCGAGATAGAGAGCTGACATTGAAGAGTTTATATAAGTCTTCTGCTTATTCCAGTTTCGCTATGACACATTTATTGAATTACTATGATCACACACACACTATGTAACTTTTTCAGGCTTTTCTGGCAAAGTGAGAACAAAAGGAAAAAGAACGCCTTTTGCCTCCAGAGGCGCCCTGAGCAGCTCCTCGACGAAGAAGGCGTTGTCTTCCTCCACTACAAACTGAAGAGTCTGGCTCTTGTTCACACAGTAGATGCAGTTCCCGATCACGGCACACCTGAAGGGTAAATGGCTTCCGAGCTTCTGTGATGCGCAATCGTGCCACATCTTCACTATGCTGTTGTACTTAACCACGGTGATGCCCTGCTCGCGGTTGACATCGAATCGGTAAATGAAGCTTTTGAACGCCACCATGTCGCTGGACTTCTTCCTGCTGTTGTTGTAGGGGCACTCCTGCCACTCGTCCCTCTTGGTGTCGTACCTCAGGAGGCGGTAGAAGAGCGAGCCTCCTGAAACGTAAAGTTCTCCGCCGCAGGTCGTGGCTTCGTGGGCCACTGCAAAGGCTCCTTTGGGTAAGGGGGCCACGGAGGTCCATCGGTCCATGCGAGGGTCATATTTTTCCACTGTAAACAAACATTCCCCTCCAATGGCATACAAGTAGCCATCCATTGACACAAGCTTTAGCTGGGAGCGAGCTTGGGTCATAGGTTTGATCTCGGCCCAGTTGTTGGTTATGGGGTTGTAACAGAAGACCTTGTCTGACACTTTGCCCTTCTCCCCGTAGCCCTTTATCCCCCCAGCCACAAACAGGTAGTTGTACATGGTGCAGATCCCGCACCCTTTAGTGTTAATGTCCTCAGGCATGGAAGTTAAAGGTCTCCAGTCATTTGCTGTTTCGTTAAATTTGTAAATCATATGGTTATCTTCCAAAGACCCACCGGACAACGGGCTCTGCGGTCGACTGCCGCAACGACTCGGAGGACGGCTTCCAACACGATCAAACACATCGTTTATCTCTGCAACCATCAGAGTCTGCCTCCCCTCCATCCTCTTCTTCAGGATCAGATCTCGCTCAGACCCATTGAGGCGCCCGTACACAGCGGGGTCTTTGAGGACCTGGAGGAAGTTGTCGCTCATGAATCCGTAGGCAGTCTCCTTCAGTTCGCTGAGCCTCTGCTTTTTGGCGATGTTCAGGATCTCGTAGCAGTTCTCTGCAGTGATTTGTTCGGTCATGGAGTCCATGGCGGCCTGTACGGCACAGGGCATCTGCAGGACTTTAGCCCCTGTGATGACATCCACAATATTGGCCTTGGAGACATTCATCTGAGAAGTGTAAACATAGTCTACTAATGTCGACAAAGTCTTGTAACTCAACCCCTTGACTTTCAGGATGTCACGTGACAGCCGTGCTTTGAAGTAGTCGCTTTTCTCTGCCAGGACAGATTTGTGAGCGTTGATCTTCTGCCCGCCAACTTCGATGACTAAATCAGGCTCTTCGTGATGGTGGGTTTTTCCAGCTTCCAGGCTGCTGTCCCTGACCTCCAAGTTCAATTTAAGGTCTGACCAATCAGTTTCCTGTTTGGCTTGGATAGCAGAATCTGCACTGTAAGACACTTTAGCTCTGGCACCATTGTGCGTTTCATTCGGAAACTGATCATGGCTGGAAAAGTACGAGCCGTTGCCTTTCTGCCTTTCGATGAGGTTATTCTCCATCAGTCTTCCATCCAGCAGGTATTCCTTCTCAGACACTGGAGAAGGGCTGAAACCCTGGTCATCCTGCGGTAATCCTTGGATGTAACTTTGACATAAATCTCCAACTTTGTCAGGAGGTGTGACGAGGTCAGAGTTCATGGCGTGGAGGATGACATCAGCCTCCACAGTGATAGCCCCTCCTCCCTGCCTGAGACCCTCGTTCATCTTGATGTACTCACTGGGAGATGATCATGATGTGTGGATGTGTAGAAACTTGTGATTATACTCCTCCCTGTTCACCTACATGGGGGGGGGAGACAAGAAGGGAATTTAACCAGATGCAACAAAGGATGGGGAAAAAAGAGTCTTAAAGCTGCAGAGTCTTATTTACTCCCTAAGGGGCGCCCTTTCTCTAATAACAAAACCATGGAAACTTTCAATTTAAAGGAAAAAATGACTTAGTGCTGCCATTGCCAACTATGCTGTGTAATCCGTCCTGTAGTAATGTGTCATCAATTGAGTCAACACAACTGCAGCTGCTTTAATGTGTAGCTTAACAAAGAAACCAAAGCCATCCCAACATGCAGCTTCTTGCAGACTGCCTGACCCACTGCAATAATCACCCTGTATGTTCATTATTTGTGGTAATCTGGAGTCATTTAGAGCGCATGCGCAAACGGTGTTGAGCTGATGGAGGAATTAATCTCTAATATGACTGGAAAAGGGCGTTTGTAATCACATCAAAACTCAAACGCGTCCCCTATACTGTCAGATGAACGCTGAGAGCAGCTCGTTTAGTCAAACCAAGAAGGAATATACACGTACGTGTAGTTGTATTCAAACAACAATACAATCCAGAAATAAGGAATATAGAAGTGTTACGCGACCTACCTGCAATTCCTCGCCGTGATCAAACACCAGCAGCCAGTCCCTGCACAAAGACCAGTTACGTAAGGCAGTCTTGATGAAGAACCCAGGCTGTGTGCTCCCCTCCTGCACGAGTTTTTTTACTTCACCCACAAATCCAGCTGGTGTTTCCCCATCCGCTCACATTTTATGCATCGACCCTCTCAACTGGTTGTTCCACGGGATCGGTTCAGTCAGTCAGTGGTAGGGGGCGAGGCAGGCAGAGGGGCGATCACACACTGCTTTCAGGTCGCACCTCCTTCAGATCCGCACATCGTCAACTCATTTCCTCCCGTGGAAGTGGCAGCGTCTTTTTTCCTGCAGGAAGCTGGAGCTGTTCAGCGTGGGCAGCAGATGCTCTGGCTCTGAGAGATGTTAAAACTGGGATATTTGTTGTCTTTTTTTTTTTACAGTTGACTACAGTGAGGCGGTCATCAATTATCCAAACCACGCCCCCTCCAGTCGGTATTAACCCTACACTCCACAGCGGGAGCACGAGGCTCCATCTGCTCATAGACCCATCCCAGAGATGCGCCATTCCTTTACGCATCATCCATGTGCTGGGTACCACGATGGGTGGGGGGGTCAAGGGATGGAAATTATAGGAAATCACCCTTCCCTGCGTTCACAAACATATCATGAAATAAGATTTAAGTTGTGTCTAAAACTAATTGAATTACAAAAAGTGGGATCCTTTGTGTACAATACCCCTACAAATTAAATACTTGAATATCACAGTGATTCAACACATCCAAATACAACTACACACCAGAATCTGGGCACCTACATTGATTATACATTAGCACAAAAATAAACGTACCCTCCTCCACCTGTTTGAGTGTATCTGTAGGCCTATATCTTAAGTACTGAGATGATCACTTCCTAAAGTTATTGTAAGTGTAAATGTAATTCAGGTTTAAGCCAAGGACTAACAATACTCTGGAAATGATCCAACGTTTTTCTGACTAGCTCCTAAATACAGCCAGAGTACAGTACATCATTTTGAGCAACAAAAGCAGAAATAATGTGTAAATAACCCTGGAATTTGATAGGTTTGTGTTTATGTAATACAAAAGGCACACAAGGCTTATGCACTCAACACATAAAAAGGCCTGATTAGAAATGGAACAACCTCACAGCAGTGCTTTTTTAAATCCAGGGTCCATAAGCTCTCCACCGCGGAGACAGCGAGTCATAACAACTGTCCTTCACATATACAAATAGAGGGGAGCCACAGCGAGGCCATCACACACTATTAGAGATTAGAGGGCATTCAGCTGGGACGTTATAATGTCAAATCTCTGAGAACAAAGACTCGCTGAGGACCGATACACAAAATGAGCCATCTCCATGGAAACGCCAGGGTCGAATTGAAAACAAAAGACTTCCAGTTGCACACAAACTGATAACTGGGTATTAGCTTGAATAGTACAGTGTGACTGAGGAGTTGTTTACTTAGTAGTTAATACATGCAAGCCAGTTTTCAGTTACAGGAGTTAAATATTATCCCAGGTTTAAATCAGCATACTTACATACTACCAAAAATATTAGCTATGAAAATATTTTGGATAAGTCCAAGGTGCTGTAAATTCTAGCATGGGAACGACTCCAACCTGAGATCATCTTATCTATTTTTGCTTCAGCTGACAATGTAGTGAAACATGTTTGTACTGTGGACGTGGGCGCTGAAAGAGAGAAAAAGTCTTGACCCTCTCCGTTCGGCAGCAGGAGAAATGAGCAGTGAAATCCCGGAAGAGCCGTATCAGGCTCAGTTCCTGCGGCCCCCGGGCACATTGCTAGTCGCAGCATGTACTGATGTCTGCACACAGCAGAGAGGAGGCCGAGTACAAGGTTAGCCTGAGACAAGAGAGAGGGACAGGAACAATAACACTCTGTTCTACCCCTATTATACTCTTTTTCATCAATATAATATAGGTCTCAGATATATACAAAACATGTCTCTGAAATGTTTGGCTCGAAATACCAAACATATCATTGCAGCATCCCATAATCCCCTCTGTTTCAGCCCTGTTTCAAAAATGCTGATTCTCTGTCTGTTACTTTAGATGAAAACAAGGAGCCACTCCCCACGCCCCTCTGAAAGATATTTGGTTAAAAATAACAGGGGGGGGGGGGGTTACCTTGGTTGGTGATTGGCTAATGGTTACACAAGCCAAAAAAACATTATGACATCATAAAGTGGCCAAAATCTGATCAGCTCATTTTCAGACAGGTTTTTATATAAATGGATCAGGACAAAAGGTGAGGGAATCTTTGTTCCTGAAACTTTCAGAATCTCTCTACATAGAGGGGACACATGTTGATGTATAACAGACATGAAAAAGTGAATTTTGCATAATAGGTGACCTTTAAATATGACCAATATCTGTTAGCTTTAGCCATCTTTAGCGCACTGCTTTACAACAATGCCAACTTATCAGCGTTATTTTCTTGGCTGTACAAATTACAGAACATTTTCATTTGTATTTCCCAAGAATCAAGTCATCAATTAAATACCACTCCCGATGGAACAAAAGTTAAAATAAGTGGACATTTAATTAAAGAAATGTTGATTCAAACTCACACGGATCCTTTGAATGATGAAATACACAAGGTTTTTCAATAAAAGAGTTTATAAATGTGTTAATAAACATTACAGAAGTACAAACAAACTGTGACAAAAGTATAAAGCTTTTTTTCTTTTTTTAAATATTCTTATGTGAGACAAAAAGGGGGGAAACATCTCTAGTGATAACAACTCTTTCGTGCCTTTATGAACAGAAACCTGGCCAGCCAGTGATTCTCATCAAGCCTTCCCAACTAATTCAGTCATCAATATTTCACCTTCTTTACATCCCTTCCCTCTGGTAACAGAATGGTACGAGCACCAAGCTGGTCCAATAGTAACAGGATTTGATTCCATATAAACACAGAATCTGACTCCAAAACAGGTGATCCTCAGTTGTCATACTTCATATTTACAACTCTTCCTTTACTCAAACCTAATCCCAATCTTAATAAAACCTTAATGTAATGAGGAAGTCTCCTTTCTTTTCAACACTGATGTGAATACTGCAGTCCTACACAGTCCACTGTGTGGCACAAACACTGTGGAGGATGTATTAGCCATGTTACAGAACAACAACTTTATCAGAGGGTGAAAATAAAGACCTTTCAGTGTTTTTAAACAAGCATAACAAATACAGTATAACTTCGGACTGGCCTGTGGGGAGTTGTTTGCTCACGAAGCATCATGATTGAGTGGTTATATTGATCCTTAGTTTTTTTTAATAGTGGGAGACATCATTAGAAACATCCTCGGAGTATTGTGGAGTGTTTGATGGACTCCTGGTTTCAGTTTTGATCCATCCATAATGTCAAACAACGTCAGATCTCCTTGTGAGTGTGCAGTGCTGCTCTGACCTGGAAGAGAGAAGAGAGACAGAAAATGTATAAGATACTCACAGTTTAAACAAAACCATAACTTATTATTTAGTTAAATGCTTAAATAAATGCTTAAATAAACAAATAACTATGTATTTTAAGATTAATTGTCAGCATAAATTAAACATTCAATATCAAATGTTACATTTTTTTGTGTATATATATTTCATATATATGTACATATTTACACATTTGTGTACTATATCATATTTTAATTAATTAACCTTTCATTTCATTTATTCACACATTTATGTATTTATCTTTATACTATTTGAGTTTGTACTTGAATTTAACCATAGTTTAAGTTGCTTCAGCTAAATCATTAACTGCATCAATACAATTCATATATTTAATGTCTATTTTACTTTAATATTGATTTATGGTGACTTTTAGGCATTACATTATAGAGTGGTGAATTTATTCATTATTTTAAGAATACATTTTACAATTAGTTATATATATATATATTTTTTTATCAGCCCTTATTATTCTCCATTTTATAAAATAAGCATTGCATTTTTTTGTGTTTATTGTTAAAACGTTATTTCCAACCTACCGAGGTGCTTTGGTACATGTTTAGTAGGGGGATCTGCCAGACCATGATGGTGGAGGTGGTGTCGTCATGGCGAGACTGTTTGGTCTTCTTGTTGACCCTGCGGTGGCCCAGCCCTCCGGAGACCACCAGCAGAGAGCTGACGTCCACCTTGCTGGCCCGGCGGCCCCTCAGGTGGTGGGCCGGGTCGTGCAGCGTGTCATAGAGGGCCCCGTCCTCCGGCCCGTGCTCCAGGGAGCCCTGGGACGGAGCCAAGGAGCTGCAGGACGAGGACATGGAGTCCTGGAGAGCCATGGAGGTGCAGCCCGCCTCCCCCAACCACACGCCGCGTCCCTGAGGGAGAGACGTGGCTGAGTCTGGGGGGGGCTGCGAGGTCTCCCCATCCTCTGTGTCTGCTGGCTGCACTGAGGTGGGGGGGTTGGATGATGGAGGGCCAGAGGGCCGGTTACACACCGCAGCAGCCACGCTCAGGAACTTCACCGGACCGTTGTGAGCGTGTAAGGACACCATGCCCCGCCCTAACCACAGGAACACACACTTTAACATTCACACACTTTATTATATATCTCCTGTATACATTAAGTGACAGTGATATTTCCCCAAAACCTGTATATGTTGGATTCTCCACTTTGTTTTTGACAACCATTTGATAGCTTGTGAAGTTAAGATTAAGTAAAAGCTTTGCTAAAGTTGGTTGTTGTTTCAATAACCATCTAGTTTTCCATTTAGTTTCATTCATCCGAGTTCCCTTTGCTTGAACAACCAATGTTAATCATATCTGTAAAACCAACATAACTAATAATTGCGCTAATTAGCTTCTAAAAAAATAATGATATTGCTGTTAACTGTGTTCTTGGTTGCAGCAGCTGCCAAACTCTAAGTCTCCATTAGTGCGCACTGATGTTAGCTTTGTATGTCTGTGTCACTAGCATGAGTGGTAACTTGATAACATTGAATAAAATACATATTATTGAAAGAAATGATTTGTTTTCTTTGCCTTGTCTAAATCAACCCATTAGTTATGAAAATAATCCTTTGTGATAGGCCTATATGTCAGAACATAACAATATGTGATACAGTGCTGTTTGGGTGTTACCTGTGACCTTGGGGATGCCCTGCAGTCGGGGGACAGAGAGGGCCACAGTGACCCCCAGGTTGGTCCCCACCAGCAGCAGACCATGACAGACCAGCAGGCTGCTCACTGACACTCTCTGGTTCCCTGTGAACAAAATACAATTTAGTTTGTGACATTTAGAGAGAAAAAAGCTAACAAATGCTTCATGGTGACACAGTTGCAAAGTGTTCATATGTATCCTGAAAAATCAGAGAACTGTGATTTGACTACAGTACGGGGGAGGGAGGGAGGTGTATCTTCTCAGTGGGCGGGGGCATTTCTGCAAAGAAAGCATGCTCAAAA